CAACCAAGGATACAGTCACGCTTCTGGACACCGGATGGGTTTGTTGCGAGCGGTCAATAATGTTCCCTGATTCCAATAGTGTTTAATTTTGTTTAGTCCTATGTATGCGAACAGTGAGATTATACGATAGGANTAGGAATTTCTCAATTCGTTTTTTGTCTTCTAACTTGCCTGTTAAAATACAACAATACAACACACGTTTTAAATTGTTGCTTTTGTGATTGGTCTTGAGGTATGCAAAGGTGTGTGTGGTAGGAGAGTGACGAATACGATTGAATCCTATTTTCTGGTCGACTGGACTTTGTATGATCCAAATTTTAAGTTTATTTCTGGTCTAGTTAGATTAGGAAACACCCTTCCAAATTCAGCTAATTAATAATAGCTTGCGGTTTTTTGTCGGTGAAATCATTCATGAACGTTCTGTTCAAATTATGTAGATTGCTTCTGTTGATTCTGGGCATTGTTTAATCTTATATATTTTTTCATTCCTCCCCCTCCCCCGCACGCAGACATTCAAGGGAGAAGGCACAATCTCTTTTCCTGTCGATTTATCTGTGATCCCGGTGTTCTATCGTGGAGGTTGGATTATCCCACGTCGTGAACGTGTTCGTCGTTCTTCGTGGAAAATGAGGGACGATCCATTCACTCTATACGTGTGCCTTGACCCAACACTTAGCGAGGCGCATGGGTTTTTGTACTTGGATGATTATCACTCCATTTCTCGCGAAACGGCTCGTTTCTTCCGTATTATCTATCATGCCAATTCGGACCCAGTAGTCAAAGGTCCAGCCGGAGGTCATCTCCGTTTCGAGAGGATTCCCGTTCCAGGGACTACCGTTTTGCCCGATCGAGATCCGGCCACATCGAGTCCAGTGCCCCAAATCGAACGTATTGTGTTTGTCGGTCTGTCTCACGAGATCGAACGAGTAACTGTGATTGAGCGTTCGGGAACTCGCCGATCGGTGGAATTCACTCAAGACCCGGACAGTCAATCTGCCGACCAACGATATTTCGGTTCGTTACGTTTTGGTGTGCTTGTGGTTCGCCAGCCGCTTGTGAATGTGGCCGATGATTGGGAATTGCATTTGGTCACGGGGACTGAGATGAAGGGAGATCTATAATCGATCAGGTCGTGACTCTGCTCCTTCCCTTGGTGCACCACTCGTGTACTTT